TTACAGACAGACAGACAGACAGACAGACAGACAGACAGACGGACGGACGGACGGACGGACGGACGGACAGAGAGACAGACAGACAGACAGATAGATAGATATTATGGAGTTTCTTTCAAAGTTTTTGTGTACTTGTGTACAATGGCATACCTAGCAATTAAAACTCCCTGCCCAATACCTGATCGGTACATTCCGTCACAGTTCGTTAAGGACCATGCAAAAAGCACGACCGACCTACACACCCACACATCGGGACACGAGACCTTCCCACCATTACGTTATGCTCTGTGAACACGTTACAAGCACTTGTCTCTTGAACTGGCTTTTGCATTGAGGACTGGACACGGACAACTAACCGTATGTCCTGACCCACTACCAGGACAGCCTTCAGCGGTCTGGGCCAGCCTTATAAATATACGCTTAAACGCCCAATAGGGTCAGTGCTTCCAGGATAACCCTCTTAGTATAATCCCCCGTTCCGGGCTATGACGCCCGAGTATCAGTCCACCCGTAGTAGGCTATGGAAACATTGCAGGCCCACTTCCTTCCCTCGATCATTTTTTTTCTTTTGTATTTCTTTTTTTTTCTTTTTGAGGGTTTGTCGTCACGCGATAATTTTGTCTTGTCATCTTGCATCGCCGTTGTCAGGAAGAGAAAGTAGCGAGGAGATTATTCTAAGGTCTTTGGAAATACGTAATGATTGGGACGTCTGGGTTCTCCTCTTCTCCCCTTTTCAGATCATTAGTCGTGCTAAGCGGGGGAAACTTATCAAGCCGTCGTACCTGTGATTTGGTCCTTTCAGGGCTGGAAGTTGAATTCGTAAACTGTACCCCTGAAACAACTTCACAGCGTTCAAAGTAGCGTTGTCAATCTAGTGGTAGAGGTAGAGGTAACTACAAGACTCGTAATGGGGAGATTGTGGATCCAGGGGTTGGAGGTACAGCTCGGTACGACGTCTTGTCCTTGGAAAATGCACTTTTCCCGAATTGAATTGTTCCATTTGGAGCGGGTTTAATGGATATAAAGTTGAATTTGGAAGTCTGCCTCTTAAATAACCTTACAGTCGCAGTATTGCTAGGAGCATTAAACTAATACAGTTGAGCACATTAGACAAAGTATTGAAAGGAGCGATGAGCGCTTTCGTCGTTGTGGGAATTACCAGTAAGCGCACAGAAAAGCAATGCAGTCTAGTAAAATAAACATAAAATGATCACTTCACCTTCACGACGACATCCTCTCCACCCCCACTTTGTCTATTGTATAATGGGTAAGTTCGTCGTCATGCAATAGTTCAATTAATTACGTAGGCATTCAGAATTTCCGTTTGTCCAAGGATGTCCCCTACATATGGCTTGGTGCTACCGAAAACATTATAATACCATCAGTTCAGAAAGGACACCCTTAGAAGAACTTACATAATATTGTTGGACAGTATTCCCAAGACGCCGATAATGTTTCTCAGTGTTTTAGGGTTTCTTAGGGTAATAATAGTTGTAAAGTGCACAGGGCATGCTTCAGAGCATGTGTATGCGCTACATATTATTATTATTATTATTGTTATTGTTATTATTATTATTATTATTATTATTACTAT